ATGGGATCGGATTTCCTACATTTTTCAACCGATTTCAACAAAACTTCACTTTTTTTTTTGGCAGGTAGTGTTTCTTATTGTCTTGCACACTTTTTTCTTTATTTTTACATTCAGAATGCTTTAAAAATTCCATTTACAAGACAATTGTTTATAATAAAATTCTATTCAATCAATAGACTCATAATGATTGAAAACAATGTTTTTGTTTGAGTTTGGGTTTGACTAATTCGTTAAAAAAAACAAAAAAAAATACTAATTAAGACATGCGTGACTGTCAACCTTAAATGATAATCTTTGTCAATTTTATTTTTCAGTCTTTATGATGGTTGATACTTGATCTATCTCTTACTGTTACATCCCCGGGTAATGTTGGGCTCTAGTGCTAGTAAATTTATAAAAATGTTCATGAAAAGAAAACTTGAATAAACACATAACAATGAGTAATGTAATTGTAAATTTTGCAAAAATACATTTTCTGAACATTTCTTTCATTTGTTCTCACCACATAAATTCAATAAAATAGGTTGATAACATCCCTTTCCTTTGAACTGAACATTCCTTCAATTGTTAATTATAGGCAAGACCACAAACACACAATATTACAAATGTGTGTCTCCTTATTTATTGGGTAGACAAAGTTTTCCTTGCATAGGTTATAAAATAAAATAAGACATATCTCAGCTGATTTATGGGAAAATAAACTAACATGCTCAAGAGCGAGAGCTGGATGTGAACGGGTCAAAGCCCCGTCGCAAAATGACCATTATCTTCGTTTACAAATGTTCCCGACGCACGAGTTCCGGTTGAAAAATAAAATAATATTTAAAGTGTTCTATTTTTCGTCCAATAAAAATGCTTCCCTTTTAATTGTACTCGCTTCGTTTTTCGAGCCTGTTAAGTCATAAAAAAACGCCATAAAAGGGATCACAGGGAAGTACAACAGGCAGTCAACAGGTGGCCAGGGAAGAGACCTGTCATGGTCAGGCCGAGCTGTCAGCAGGGGAGCACCAGCATCAACATGTATGAACTACTATGAGAGATCGACCTAAATCCAAAGCCAGCTTATGAACTATACCACAAGGCAGCTGTCCCAAACCCTCACGTTCCTGTTGAAATAAATCACGTAAATCTATTTCTGCTGTTGTCATATTTCTTTCTTGCATCATACGCTTGTCTATAACACATATAAAGTCAGAATTGTGTAATTTTTACCACAAATATTGCATTGTAGTTGGTTTACATATTTTGATAATTTTGTAATTTTTATAAATTTTTGAATATTCTTTTTTTTTAAAGCAATTCACCCCAAGCAAGGTGGGAGTGCCACTAGCATGCAAGGGATTACAGAGGATTGAGAACGAGTAAAGAGGCATATTTGAAGAAAGGATACAAAGAAGGAAGGGGAACAAGCTCAGGGTGTCAGATGTCAATTGACATTACACTTGGATATTTGAAGATTATAGTCATTGGGGAAGCAAGCAAGGAGAAGGGAGTACCACAGATGGGAAGTGTGAGAGAAGAAGTTGTTTGAGTAGAAGAGACGATTACATTTAACTGTTTTGACAATGAGAGGGTGGGACCGAGATACCAGCCTGGTAGCTCGCTTAAATTCATACACTCTGTGGAACCAACAAAAGTAGCTTGTCAGAAAATACTCGTAGAAGATACAGAGGGAAGCCATGTCGTCTGGGATAACGATTATTGTTTTCAAATTTATTTCTTTATAAAATGGTAAATAATAAATCTTTATAAAAGATAAAAAATAAATATTGCATTGTATTTGGTTCATATATTTTTATAATCATGTTAATAAACATTGGAGGGAGTGAAGGTAGTACAAAATAATAGTGGTGTCAATGGAATAACTGTCTGCTATTTACATTATTCGGACTATTGTTCGCATCTTTGTCGCCATATTTATTACAACGTTTCGGCCTTTCAGTATCTGTCTATATTTCTAAGATGAGGTATTATGTATACTATTTACATTATTCGGACTATTGTCCTCATCTTTGTCGCCATATTTATTACAACGTTTCGGCCTTTCAGTATCTGTCTATATTTCTGAAATGAGGTATTATGTACACTATTTACATTATTCGGAGTATTGTCCTCATCTTTGTCGCCATATTTATTACAATGTTTCAACCATTGTATGCTCCGGCCTTCTTCAGGTGGTTAGAATGTCGAACTGAACCCTTTATTTCGCTCATTGGGGTAGACTGTTCTAGTTCCACATGCCATGTTTTAATGGATGTCAGTTATCAGTTATCTCCTGTTAATTCCCCTCTCCAAGGACACATGGCACAGTGGATAAAGGCATTAGTTAGATCCAGTGACAGGACCCAAACAGTGTGAGTTCAATACCTGGTTAAGGCAGTGGAGAACTTGGAGAGGGGAATTAACAGGAGATAACTTCGGGCAGAGAGGAACCCAGACAAGGCTATGCCGAAGGGCAGAGTCTCGTCTGGAGTTGTATACAGCAACCCGACCCCATTTTTTATGGGGTCTATGGGGAATTTTTGCCTGAACCTTCAGGCTCGTATGCCTCACATTTAATTCGGCTTTGTGCCACATCTGACCATGTGGGGCGATTGGCAAATATCCTTGCTTTGGTAATTATTAGCCTGCTAACTGATTTCCTATCTTTTACAATAAACCTTTCTTTCTTTGATCTATGCCCATGTTGCTGTTCTTTTCACTCGAGTACCACCTTTGTCTGTTTGTAACCTCTTTAAGGATACAACATTATGCTATATATCTAAAGATTCTTGACAAAATCCAAAAAATCAGCAATATTATCCATCAATATTATTTTATTCATTGATTTTATTTAATTTTCCCACAAATTCTTACCACTTTAGTGTCCTACATTGTCTTTGTGTTCTTTATTCTGTCCTCAGTTCACTTAACCTTGTTAAATAGGTTACTTGCTGTTCTCTTTTCTTCTCTTGTCTTCTAGATATCCTGTGATGTTCTCTCAGCCTTCTTTTCTCATTACATGTGTCTCTCTACCATCCTTTTTTGTCCCTGTTCTATAAATTCACACAGAATCTATATGTAGGTTCTTCACTGTTTATACCTGCTTCTCTTGCCTTCAATATGTCCTGTGAGTGTTAAATTCTCTAGGCAGCTTTCCTCATTATGAACGACCATTTACCATTCTTCTTTGTCTTTGTTCTATCATCCATTTAAACAAACTTTTTAAATAGGTTACTCACTGCCCCAAATCACATATTTCCTAATTTCAAACTCATTTTGGCTGTTCTTTTTTATGTGCTAATTCTTTCAAGACATAGATGATCGTGGCTCTCTACAACTTCTTTTTTTTTGTTTTTGCTCTTAGTATCTTTTAATATTCTCCTTTGTTCTTGTTCTACTATCCATTGTAATTAAGTTACTCACTATATTCCTCTGTTTGATTTCTCTTGCATCAATATGTCCTGTGAGTTCTAAATTCTCTAACCTTTCTTTCCTCATAATGTGCCACAGAAATTTCAGTTGTCTGTTTACTAATAGTAATTTTATTGTAGTTCCTATTCTTTTTGAGACTTCCTTGTTTACCCACATGCTTTGTCCATGAAATTCTCAGCGCTCATTGGTAGAACCTCACTTTTGTCACTGCAAGTTTCCTCTTCATCTATAAGGAAATTGTCCAACATTCAGCATAGGAGATTAGCTATTACATAACAGTCTAGCATTATTTTCTTTGTTTCTAATGACATTTTCTGATCTCTTAATACTTTGCTCAGTTTCTGTAAGGCATCTTGCACTATTCATATGTATTTTAGATTTCTTTATCATGCTTTTTATCTTCTGTTACTAGGATGATTCTTGATGTTTATTTACTGGAAACTTTGAAATAAAACAAATTGACAAGGGTATAAAATAAATAATATATATTTATTTATTTGATTTAGATTGGAGTGAGTCCTTTGATATTTGAGGTAATGAAAGTTTCTTATAAGTCTGATCTTCGTAGCAGTTGGGAGAAAGTCTGTTTTGACTCAATATTTAACAGTTTAGAAGTCAGAAGTTAGCAGTAGTAGTGATGTTAGAAATAGGTCAGTGTCAATCTATTGTGTTTTTCTCGGCCCTAAGAAGGGTAAAAAACATCATTAACAGAAGACCTCTTAAGCATCTTTAGGTGTCATGCATGGCTGGTTTCTATGGCAGTGGTGTTTCTTGTTCTGTGGTTTCTCTTGCATCTAGCTCAGAGCTGTCAGTTTATATCCTTTTGACCAGGCTCCAAGACTACTGGCATGAAACTTGGTTTTGGCTAACATCAAAAGTTTCTTTGTGGTAATTTTTTTGATTGGCCCAAATTATTTTATTTTCCAGTTTTCTTTTCTTTTTCATTTTCTTTTTATATAGCAGAAGCCTTTCTAATTTTTGGTAGTTTTTAGTCACAGACAGTTAGACCCTAGTCTAGTGAACTTCCAGCATTTTTCGACCAGGTTCAGTCTTTTCTTGCTTTTTTTATTTGAGGGTTGTCTATATAAGTATATAGAGAGAAGTTGAAAAAGAAAGAAAGAAAGAAAGAAAGAAAGAAAGAAAGAAAGAAAGAAAGGATAAATGCTTTATTTTAATTTTAATTCTTTTTATTTTTTATATATTTTATTTTTTTATTTTATTTTATTGTTTCTCAGCATTACAACTACACTACCCAGATAGTCATATTTCTGTACCGGATTGATTTTTTGTTGTCATCCCTCTATGAAGCTTGCAGCCAGCCTCTTCTGACAATCATCTATTTTATTTTCTTACATTTAATGTTTAGTACTTTTTGTTTACTTCAATTACTCTACTGCAGTTTTTTTTTTTAAAAAACTAAAAAAACAACCACTATGTCAGGGGTGATAATCCGTAATGTTTTGTGACCGTCAGGTGGCACTGCGATCACATGACAATCTCCGTTCTACATTTCCTTCCCTCAGAGTTTAGTTGTCGTTTCTCTGTCGTCGTCTGTTTTCCTTTAAAATAAGATCGTCCCCAAAATGATGTCCGAAATTTCTTTCAACATTGACCACGGTTATTTAGAAGGCCTTGTCCGTGGCTTCAAGGGCGGCATACTTAAACAATCGGACTACTTGAATTTGGTGCAGTGTGAGACATTGGAAGGTAAGAGGAAGCAATGTAGAGAACTACAGTACAGTCTCCCCCCTCCAACTTCTCCATTTTGGTGTCGTGGCTCAGCTAATAAACGTGTTGATTGCTTTTATCAGCTGATTTTGGTGTTTTCTACTTTGAGCAAGTCTTTTACACCCTTTGTCGAATTTGTTTATTTCATTTCATGTAAAATTCTAATTTGCCGATTAATATGTCTCAACACCTACTCAAGAGTAGGTGTTGTACTTTGTAGCTAAAAAAAAATATGGAACAATTGTTTTTTCCTCTTTTAAAAAAACTAATTGTGCTAATTAACTGTAAAAGTTTTTCTTGTGTATCTGTCGGATCTAATGTCATCCATGGTTAGTCTTGTGCATGTTGAAGAACTCAAAATTCGTTACAATAATTAATTCGGTTTGTTATGGTCATTGGTATATTGCTCATTCAGTAGTAATGTTGCTTAGCTTACGTTTCTACCGTCCTTCAAGTTCGATCTGAAGGAAGTTCATTTTTATTTACCAATTGGTTACATTAATAAATTTCTATTTACTTACCTTTATTTGGACTCTTATCCTTATCTTTATTGCCATATTCACAACATTTCGGCCGTTGTACGCTCCGGCCTTCTTCAGGTGATTAGAATTTCGAATCGAACCCTTTAATTTCGTCCACTGGGAGATATAGACAGATAATAAATTTCTGTTATCGCGCTGCTAAAGTTTTTGATTGTTAAGTTATGAACAAACGTATTTGCTCATTAAACACGTTGCAATGATTTATTGTTATTTTCTTATTCAATTTCTAAAACCTATGACTAGTTTGTCTTGTGACTGTTGGAGTTATTTTCTTTGTATGAATTATGCACTTTTATATTAAGTTCTGAAGGTAGAAAATCTACTTGACATCATTTATTTACTGGATTATGTCTTAATTAAAAACTACTTGTAACTTTTACGTACGCGCTTATGACAAGTACTGTGTACATTTTTAGTGTACACCCCACGTACCTAAAACAACAGATGTTAACTTTTACTCACAATAATTACATTTCAATATAAAAGGTATTATTGTTAATTGTTAGTAATTAAGGAGAAAAGTTAGAATATGTAACAGTTGTTTTATTTGATAATTTATCCGATTTCGTTGCTGAAATTTAAAAAAAGCATACATTTTCATTGTTTTACCTTTTTTTTTAATCTAATCATAAACTGTTATATTACAATTGAATTAAAAATGTTAAGGTTTTACATTTAATATTAAAAAAAAAAAAAGATTGACATTTGAGTTGACAAGACTCAAGAGAAATGGTTGTCGTACACTCTACACAGTTACACTTAGTAGTTAAATAATTTTTTTCAAAAATCCTTAATCTTGTTTCTAATGTTTCAGATACGTTAACACTTAAAAAGAAAGAAACGTCTGCTAATTTAATAAACTTTATTAATAATTTATTTATTCATTTACAAAAAAAAAAAAAAAATTTATTTTAGTTCTTCCCTTTTTTGTTGTTTTTTTAGACTCTAAAAGAAAGACCTCGTTTATTTTCGTAGTCATGTGATTTAATTTATTTTAAAACTAACAGAATATACAAATAATAAAGCACTTTTTCTTACTATTTCGGTTAATTAAACCTTATTAATCTACTAATGATTAATTCATTACCAAATTAATTAAAGTACCTCTGCTTCCGCCTTTCCTTTCTTTAGGAAGAAAATAACCTATTCATTTCATATAAATTATGTAAATTTGTTAAATATATCAATATATAATATTTAATTTACTAATTATCCTACATTGATTGCCATTTGTCTTGTCTATTTCATCAATAATAGCAGTTTTCAAAAGGAAAAACGAGATATCGATGAATGAAAATAAAATTGAGTGGGTGGGAACCAACCCAACAATATGACATGGTATCGTTTTTTTTACCATGTCCCATATTGCAACTTAGTCTTTTATTTAAAACTTTCTTTTACTAATGATTTTTTTTTTTTTTTTTTTTTTTTGCAATTGGAGAATGAAAAACAAAAAAGTAGGACCAGGATTCTTTTTTATTTATCCTTTTTTGTATTGTGAAAATTCTTAAATATTTGCACAGGATAAAGTCAGTCAAGCAAGCAAGTCATTTTTGAAATCTCAGGATGAGATTGAAAATGAAAAATAATTTTTTCTTTTTAAATTAAAAACATATTTTGATTGTTAAAAGGATGCAATTATCATAATTATTATAATGGAAGAAGCTCTTGTCTACTGTACGTTTTTAAGGCAGCCACTTGTCAAAAAACACTTTAATTTCAATCTGTTATTGTACTCAACTGTTTTACTTTTTTAAAACGTTTTTTGCTGTTTTTTTTTCTCCTCTTTCGGACATAGGGGGAAAAGTACTGTCTAGACTTTGAAATAAGACCTACTTGCAATATGAAACTCATAGACAATAAATAAGGTTATATTACAATTAATGTGACTGTTTAATTTAGGAAAATAAAACCTGGACTTTGAACAGAAAAATAAATGACTGTGCATTTGTAATCAGTGAAATTCGACAAGCAGAAAATGTTTTTTTTGTGTTAATTTATTATAAATCAGGTTTTTGTTTATTTATGAATTCGACCCATTTAAGAAGAAAAAGACTTTAAAAATGTTTTAAAATCAGTTTCCATTATCCAAAAATAAAGATTTATAAAAAAAAAAAAATATTGTTTCGGATAAATAATGTAGTTAAAAACTAAAATTTAATTAAACGAGAAGGAAAAAGATTTTAATTTAAAAAAAAAAAAAATTGCCTTCCCACAAGGACAAATAAGCCATGAATTCTTTTTTTAGGGTGGGATACCTACACACGACTCAAGGTCGTATGATGCGTAACCCAGTTTAATTAATTGCTCAGTTCCTTCGGCTATAGTCGCGCATCTGATCCTTAGTACGATGGGAGGTACTGTCTAGCCTTGGGGACAGGTCCCTGAACACCAGACTTCAGTTAATATTAGCTTCCAACTGTGAAGGACAAAGAAAAAAAAAATACTGGAGCTTAATATTGTAAATTTTACCGTTGTAGAAAGATAGCCCTAATGAATCTCAATAAAATAAGTTTTTAAAGATTTTTTTTGCTTTTTTATGATCAGCGGATTTATTTTAAGTGCACGAAAGAAAAATATTCGGTTTCAGATTTATTTTATTTTTTCCTTCCTTCATCTTTTGTTATATTGCAATAAATCGTTTTACTTTTACTCAGTGTAACCCGGATATAAGAGATTTTCTCTGGTCCCAAATTAGAGCCTGTGTTAAAATAGACCAAACCCGGATATAAGAGAAACCCGGATATAAGAGACTTCTTCTCTGGTCCCGACAACTCTCTTATATCCGGGTTACACTGTATACGACATTTTAAAAAAGTGTTCATTTTTTTTTTAATCTGTTTTCATTTTTCAATATTTTATTTTCTAATCGCCAAACGATGTTATTGTTTTAACGTTTTCCTTTTGGAGTTTGTGTCTTGTCTTCATTTTATTTCTCTGGGAAATGCTCATTGTTCCATGTCGGTGAGGAAAAAAAAATCGGTCTCAAAAGTAAACAGTATGGAACAGAATAGTAGCATATCTATATCTAGTAATGAAAGCTTCAAGACCCCTAATTTAAGAGGAGCTCCTGAAGCAACTTTTTTTAAAAGAGTGAATTTTTCAACAAAATCGATTTTGTTTTTTATTTTTTGTGATAGAATCATAAGCCAAGATTTGAAGTAACTGATGTTGACCTTATGATCTCTAAATACTAAATATGGCATCAAAAATTCCATTGTAATTGGATGTCAAGTTCAAAAATTTTCTATGGCCTTGTTGAGCTTACCAGAATCTATGTATAGCTTTACACTTTGGCAGTTGGATCCTTGAATCTATTGTTGCTAGTTGTGAAGGGAGCCTCCATATATGTTCAAGTTTCAGACCCCAAAAACTGTAGGTCTGTCACTCAGAAGTAATCTTTGATGAGATTTAAATTTTAACTATCTTGAAGAACCCATCCAACATTGACAATGTTTTGCCAATTTGGCTGCATATATCCATCAACAGACAAAATTTAAATTAGTTGGTTTATGATAATCAGATGCTAATCCTTTATTTCTGGCCTATTTATATGAGGCAACAAAAGTACACTTGCTGAAAGTCAAATTTATATACCAACTCTACATATTTTTTTGTTAGAAAAAAAATAAGGTTTAGAAGTACATGACCCATGTAATTGTTTACATGTGACAAATCGTATACCTTTGAAAACAAAAAGATATGGTAGACATTTTATGACCCAAATAGAAAGGGTTACTTTAAAAGTTCACAATCTGACTAAAATTGATTCGATAACTTCCACTTTTCCCTCCACATATGATCAGCCATGACTTATTCTATAGTCTCTTAATGGATTTTTTTCCTAAGTATTTTTCTTGCCTTTCCTTGTTCTGGATGTGGTTGCCTTTTTATTCTCTGCTAAAACTGTATGAAACAGTATACATATTTTTTTTTTTTTTTTTTTTGTCATATTTTCTGATTGGGTTTTGGTGAGGTTTTGTCGAAGGGTGAAAGCTTTTAAATACTGTCCTGATATATGGACTACAGATCCTCTTTATCCTTGACATACTTCTTATGTAAGGTAGACAAATGATAGCAGTTTTGTTATCATCTGCCATGGTATATCTACACATGGAAATTAAAGTTATTCTTGTAGGGTAGTTATTACATTGAAGAATGTTCTTTATACTGATCATCTCCTGTTTGTACCATAAGTAGTTGGAATCAGTTTATGACCATAAAAGATAAAACTAATTCATTTGACTGTTGAAAGGATTTGGGATTCTGAACAAAAAAGAATTCTGCTAGACCTTTGCCTTACTTTTTAAACTTTCCACTTCTAAGAAAGTTTTGTTTTCTTATTTTTCTTTACTCTTCCTCAATCAGTATGCACCATGCTTGCCCAGTCATGTTTCCTATAACAGCTCTAATCTGTTCAAGAGCAATTTTTATGGT